CCCCCCCCCCGGTTCCATCCACTCTGTTGCTGTCGGCTCCAAGGAGCAGGGCGGGGGAGCACCCAGCTGTGCTGGCCTTGCCCCTGCACTCTGTCCCTTGTATTCTCACCATCATAGCAGTGCATTGCCACTGTCCAAATGCTTCTTCATACTCTGATTGGCTGTTATGGACAGACAGACAGACACATTAAGGCTTTTATAATATTAGAATGATTCCACTCCAGGGCCAGTTATTCCAGGATATTGTGTGTTCCTCTGATCTTTCTAGTGGTTTACTTCAAACCTCTGTGTTCACACAGTATGTTCCTTTCAGTTTAACTTCTGTTTACCAAAGGTTTTCTTTTTTCTCCCCTGTGTGAACTATCATTAGATGTAGAGGGTGCCTATACACATGCTCTGGGGTCGGGGGGAGGTGTTTTAATTAGAGCAGCTCTTCGGAGCCACTCTAATTGAAACCCCCCACAGCATCTTATGTATTCAGCATCCCGTGTTTCAAAATTATGGTGGGGGTGTTTTAACTAAAGCTCATTTGATGGACTTTAATTAAAGCACCTGCACCACCATTTTGAAACATGGGACACAGAATATATGAGAGGCTGCAGCACAGAACGCATGGTCTAATCAGAATGCATCAGAGCACATGTAAAAGTGCCCATGGACTTTAAATCTTTGCAGGGGTTCAGAAGGCAGACTGTCCTTTACAGTCTTGTTTTAGCAATTGGTTAGTCTAATCCAAGGGTGGGCAGAATGATAGATCTGGCCAGCAGCCTGACACCCATTTCCCAGCAGCCCCTGGCTGCATTGCCACAGCCAATTTCTATGGAGACCCTAGCAGCCGCAGCACAGGTCCAGAGTTTCCATGGAGACCAGCCCAAGCAGCATTGGCAGGATGCATGGCTGGGCGGGGAGCTACTCTGGAGCTCATCATACTCTGCAATGATGACAGCGTGATCTGGAACCAGGGCAGAGCCATGATCTGCTGCCTGTATGCCCCTGTCCGGGGCATGTGGGCAGCAGATTGTGGCTCTGCCCTGGCTCTGGACCACACTGTCACTGCTGCAAGATCCCAGCCCTGGAGCCATGCGCCCTACCAGTGCTGCTGGGGCTGGTTTCTGTGAAAACCCTAGTGCCACGCTGCCGCTGCTGGGTCTTTATGGAAACCAGCCGTGATGTGGGTGTGGGCTGCTGGGAAATAGAGTCCACTGTGGGCCTTATCCAGCCTGCAGGCCAGACTCTGCCTCCCTGCCCCCCTCCCCCCGAACCGGTCTAATCTGTCCCAAGTAGAAGATCTTCCTTAAACCCATTAAGTGTACTGGGATAAAGAATTGAAAGCAGAAATAAGCAAACCAGTTTGGAGGACATAAAAATATTCAAAGCTTTTGCCTAAAAATGCCAGAAAAACATTGAACCTAACATTTTTTTTCAGGATTGAAATAGCTGATTTAACTTTTTTTTCTTCATTACTTTAAATGTGCTAGTTCTGGTTTCACTGCTCTGCCAGGTTTTGGAAGAACAAAAAATAAGAAATGGTTAAATAGCATGAAAGAGTTTGTTCTCTTGGTTAAATTGTCCAGAAGAAAGTACTTGTAGCTCTCAGAAGGGAGTCTGTTTTCTTGGGCCTTCAAAATTAATAAGCCTGGATCATAAACCTTGGAAAATATGTACTTCTGGGGTTGCTTATTTGATCCAAACCTATGAACAAAACTTTCAAGGGTGGTATTAGAGTTCGGATCTAAATAATTTTGAAAGTCCCATGATGCCTGTTCCTGCATCTCTAGTCACCTAAATACCTTTACAAATGTCGCCCTATGAGCCCAAGTCATTTTTTAATGTTACCAAATCTTTTTTAGCCAAATAAAACCGGGAACCTTTTGCCCATGTTCAGTGAAGGCATATTTGGCATATTAATGTATGCTGTCTGAAACAGAAAATCACCTTTTCCATTTAACTTCCTCCCAGATTAACTTCTCTTAAATGCTCTGAATGGCTACTCCTGAGTCCGTTTGCTGAGATGGTGACTCACCATCCTATAATTTCACATGTTAGGACTGGGCAGAAATCTTCCTCTCTTGGTGAGATGGATGCCACTGACTTGATTGAAAACCGAATGGGTGGGATTTTCAGGAGCTGTCTGTACTGCTTCCATTGTAATCTGTGGTAAAACTGGCATTAGACCAGAACAGGTCAGCACCAAGTACCTAGAGAGTTTCTGGCTCCTGTTGCTTCACCCTTTTCTCACGATATTTGTGGAACATTTTGCTCCTTGTTTTTTTCTAGGCACAAGGATTAGCTCATTCAGCCAAGCAGACCTGGCCTCTCGCAGTATCCAGTACATCCACACCAGTGAGGTTGAGAGACATTCCGACTCATTTACTTTCTCTGTCTCTAATGGAGTGAATGAGGTAGGCCTAAGCACATTCATCTCAGAGTTGATGAAGATTGAGTCTGCAGAATTTTATAGAAATGCTGGGAATACATTGTTCTGATGCTGCATGGGAGACATGCATGCAAATGAAATGAAACAAGCTTTTGCTCCTGATCTCATAACTTAATACTGGCAGGTTTTCTTGTTTCTCATGCTGATGGTACTCGGATCACTGCCGGACCACATTTAGAGTGCGAGAAGGGAGGGATTACTCTCAGGAGCATTGAAAGCAGTCCAGGATGGCCCTATGAATCAGAATTTCCAAAGATCTTAGATCCAGATTTTCAAGTGCTTAGCAGCTGTCCCTTGTGCTCATCTTCCAATTAGTCAGCTTAATAGGGGCCATACTTCCAAATGTGCCTCAGATCGTAAAATCATAGAAAAGTAGGGACTTCAGCACATCTAGTCCAAATCCAGACCTACTCAAAGCAGGTCTTCCTTGTCCAAACCATCCTAGATAAATATTTATCTAAGAAGGTTGCCTGTTTCAATGTTTAACCACCCTCAAAATGAGAGAATTCTTCCTAACAACCAACCTACATTTCTCTTGCTGCAATTTGAGACCTTTTACTCCTTGTCCTGTCCCCTGTGGCCACAGAAACTGGTCTGTCATAATCATCTGTATTACCACCCTTAAAATCTTCCTCAGTTTTCTTTTCTGCAGACTAAATAATCCCAGGTCTTTTAGCAGCTCCTTGGGCATGTCTAAACAATATGTTTACTGCAGAGCTACCTAATTAGCTCTGCAGTAAAGTCTCCACATCTGCACGTGCAGCCCTATTAGGTCTCAGGAAACTAAGTTACTCCACAACAGGATAGTACTTGTATATCCTGTGGTGGAGTAAAGTGCTCAGTGGTGCTACACTAGCTAGCTGAAAGAGACCTGGGGGTTATGATCAACCACAGAATGAAAATGAGCTACCAATGCGATGCTATAGCTGGCAGAGTGAACAATACATTGGCTTGCATCAAATGATGCATCTCAAGCAAGACTAAGGATGTCATCCTTCTGCTTTACTTGGCATTGGTGAGGTGCATCTGGAGTACTGCATCCAGTTCTGGGCGCCAAACTTCAAGAAGGATGTGGAGAAGCTTGAAAGAGTCCAAAGGAGGGCCACAGGTATGATTAGAGGTCTGGAGGACAGGCCATACAAGGAGAGGCTGAAGGACATAGGACTGTTCAGCCTGAGAAAGAAAAGACTTAGGGGGTACTTGGTGGCAGCCTATATGTATATAAGGGGTGAACATCAGGGCCTGGGAGAGCATTTGTTCACAAAGGCACCCCAGAGGAAGATGAGGAATAATGGACATAAACTGTTAGAAGATTGCTTCAGATTGGACATAAGGAGAAACTTCCTTATGGTTCACATGTCCAGAGTCTGGAAAAAACTCCCCACAGAGGTGATACAATCACCTACCCTTAAGATCTTCAAAAGATGACTGGATGCACAGCTTGCTGGAGTCATCTGACCCGGCAGTCTTTTCTTTCCTGCCTAAGAGCAGGAGGCCTGGATCTGATGATCTCATGAGGTCCCTTCCAGCCCTTAACTTCTATGAATCTATAAATACACATGTAGACAGGGACAGGGCTGCTGGCTAGCTCCAAACTGGAGCACCCTTGTGCCCCAGACAGCCCCTCCATAGCATGTTGAGCCATGGGGAGCTGCCCCAAGCTGTCAGGCTGACCCCCCGTACCCCGTGACAAGTGGAGCTGCTCTGACCTGACTCAATGTGCTGTGGTCCTGGGTGCATGTGCAAATGCAGTGCCTGGGAGCAATAAACTCCAGTGCCATTTGTGCCAGTGTATTGCACCACGCTAATTGCACATGTAGATACGCCCCTTGTAAGTCATGTTTCTCAGACCTCTAATTATTTTCATTGCTCTCCGCTGGACTCTAAGTTGTCCACATATTTCGTGAAGTGCAGTGACCCAAACTGGGCACATTACTCCAGACGAGGCCTTGCCAGCGCCAAATAGAACAGAAGGATCGCTTTCCTTGACTTAGAAATGACACTTTTCTGTTAATGCAGCCCAGGCTTCTTTTGCACAAAGTGCATGCTGTTGGCTCATATTGGGCATGTCTACACATGTAGCTATGGCAACATTATTACTGTACCATGATTTAGTACTTCCTTTTGGAAGTACTGAATCATGGTGCAGTAACAGCCCATGCTGCGCCATACACGTGGTGCATGGTTATTTTTAGCAGCTACTTTGCTGTAGCGGTGTGCTATACTGGGGGAGCACATTGCTATGGCAAAGTAACTGCTAGTCACATGTAGATGCCCACAATGCTACGTCACCATAGTGCGTTACTACAGTGACATAGTGTCACGTGTAGACACGCCATTAGCTCATATTAAGCTTATGGTCCACTGTAGCTCTCCAGGTCCTCTTTGCAGTACTGCAGCCCAGCCAGTCATCCCCAAATGTATAGCTGTGCATACGATAATTCTGTTCCACGTGTAGGACTTTGTCTTTATTCTTATTGAATTTCATTTGATTAATTTTGGACCATTTTTCCAGTTTATCAAGGTTATTCTGAATCCTAATTCTATCCTCCAAAGTGTCTTCAACTCCATATAGCTCTGTGTGTCATCTACAGATTTGCTAAATTTGCATTCAGTTCCATCTTACAAATCATTCATTAAGATATTAAACAATATAGGACCCAGAAGAGACCACTTTCTTGATGACCTGCTCCATGATCTTTTCAGAGACCAAGGTCAGACTGAGTGGTCTGTAATTCCCCTGATTTTCCTTCTTTCCTTTCTTAAAGATGGACACTATATTTGTCCTTTTCAGTTTTCCAGGACCTCAGCCAACAACTATGAGTTTTCAAAGAATTTCAGTGGCTCTGAAATTACCTCATCCAATTTCTTGAGTACCCTATGGCAAAGGTCAGCAATGTTTTCCAGTGGGGGGCCAGAAAGAATTGGCTCATGTCAGAGGCACTTGGACCTGCTCATCTCTACTTCTCCCTGCTACCCAGTTGCAGTTCCTTCCCCCACCCCGAACTGCTAGAGCCTGTACTTATGCTGCCTAGCTGTGGCAAAGCTCAGAAAGAGCTAATGCCCCTAAAGGGATGCTCTGCAAGATGGATCTGGCACCTGGGTCATCAGTTGCCGACCCCTGCTTTAAGGCATATCCTGTCCAGCTCTGCCAACTTGAGAACATCTAGCTTCTCTAAATAGTACCTAACTTGTTCTTTTAGTATTCTGAGCTGCTTATCACCTCCTCTATTCTTGCTACTAACTGTATTTGTCATCTGGTAGCTGACATTACTCATGAAAAATCAAGTAAAAAGGGAATTAAATACTTCAGCCTTGCTTTTATCACCTCTGGCTTTGACCTGGATGCTTTCAACAAGCTTACCTCCTGCTTTGTACTGCACTTCAGAACAAGCGTATATCTCTTTGTATAATAGAGGGACACCACCTCCCTTTTTCCCTTGTCTATCCTTCCTGAATGATGTATACCAACCCATAATAGTCCCCCAGTCATGGAAACTAGTCCATCAAGTCTTGGTTATCCCAATTACGTCATACTTTTGTGATTGCACTAGGACTTCCAATTCTTCCTGTTTATTCCCCATGCTTTTTGCGTTTGTGCATAAACATCTTGGGTAACTAGCCTGCTGCTCTAAATTCTCTGAGAACATTGTTAAGGATACCCTTATTGCCTTCTCTTACTTTTCTTTTATATGGGTTATTTGGTTCTCTTACATCTGGGCTTTTGTCTCCAACTGCTGTTGAACCTAGTTTAAAACCCCTCTCACTAGGTTAGTGAGCCTGTATGTGAAGAAACTCTTCAGATGAAAAACTCTTTTGAAGAACTGACCCTGTGGGAGAGAAATAATAGCTGCAAAAGGGGAAGGTAAAAAGGGAGGAGAATAGGGAGTAGGAGAAAACCAATGTAAATCATACCAAAAAGAAAAGATGGAGCTTTGTAATGTTTATAGAGGTGGAAAATCCATACTCAGAGACTGGTTTTGACCCAAACTCAGTAGATTTGCACATAAACATCAGTATTGTTATTTATGAGATGCCCCTGTTGTCTCTTCATGCCATCATTGTGTCATTTCAGTCATGTTCTGAGTGGAGAGTGTGCATCATAAAGAAGTTGTGTGTTTCTTTCCCTTCCAGGTGAGTCAAACATTTGACATCACCATAAACCCAGTGGATGACTCCTTGCCTGTGGTGCAGAATCCAGGGATGAGGGTTCAGGAAGGGGTGAGAAAAACCATCACAGAGTTTGAGCTTAAAGCCACAGATGCTGACACAGAGGTAAGACAGAAATGACTCCCTCCTCCCCTCCCCCCACCTTGTTCTGTTGTACAGTTGATTTACCACAAAAATAGGTTTGCATTCAAAAGACAGAGGATAATTAATGGGTTCCTCCCAGCACACCCTTGGCCTAATCACAGGTGTTAGACAGCTTCAAATGAACAGCTGGTGGGAGGGTCCGTGTGTGTGTGTGTGTGTGTGTGTGTGTGTGTGTGTGTGTGTGT